TTTGTCTCTTTATTACAAGGAATAATATTCTATGCCATGTTCCACCTAGCCACGTGTGTAACAGATTTATTAAGCCACAGTATTTTTATTTTCTACTCATTGTCTACAGTCCCCAGCTCACACCTCACCCCAAACATTTTACATTTCACTGCTCCTGAATGTGACTGGAATACTACAACTGGTAGAACCAGCTTTTGTTTCTAAGCCTTATGAGATTCAGGTCTTGGTACCAAGCATGACTGGAAAGCTCATCTCTTCTGGGCACAGAGCCATATTTGGAGAGAGATTTTTGAGCCTATGTTCAGGGAAATGTATTAAACAAGTGACAATGAGTCTCTACTTCTACAAATCTTATGATTATGATAGTCTTTACTTTTACTGCCTTAGTCTCTACTTTTACAAAAAAATTCACTGGGATCCTTTCTTTGGGTATTCTTTTATCTCATGGTATTTGATGTTGAATTTAGAATTTTCAAAGAGATAGTGAAACTAAAAGAACTAGAAACAAATTCCAGTGTAAAAAAAAATCTGTTTTACATGAACTCTCTGCCTTTCTTCTTGTCTTGAGGGCAGAGGGCTGGGTTATATAATACAACCCTCCAGTCCCATATAGTAAGCACATAATAAATGCTTGCTCATAAACTTTCTCTCTCTCTCTCTCTCTCTCTCTCTCTCTCTCTCTCTCTCTCTCTCACACACACACACACACACACACACATATCTTATCATAGCCTGCTTGACATCTCTACCTAGAAGACCCACAGGTATCCCAAACTCAACATTCCAAAGATGAAATTCATTATCTTTCCTTAAAACTTCACCCCTCTTTGCTATTTCTGTGGAGGGTACCACCTAGTTTCAGTGAGGAAAAATGCTGAACTTCCAGTCTCAAGATCTAAATTTGAATCCCAGCCCTGCTACTTTTGCTACCTGTATGTCCTTGGGCAAATCACTTTTCCTTTCTGGGTCTTAATTTCTTCATCTGCAAAATAAGAGGGTTGAACCTCTAAGGTCTAAGGCTTAGTGTCCTTTCCTTCACCTTTACCTCTTGGAATCTCTGGTTCCCTTCAAGACAGCTCAGGTGCCACCTTTTACATAAGGTCTTTTCTGATAACCTCCAGTTAGTAGCTATTTCACTCCTCAGGAAATTCCTTTGTATGTAGTTTGCATTTACTTATTTTATGTTAGGTTCCCTCCTTAAGGTCAAGGATGGTTTTGTGTATGCCCTTGCATCCCCAGTGTCTTGCATATAATAGTGTTTAATAAACATTTCTTGAATGAATTGAGTAAATGAATCCCAGGTTTCTATGACACTTCTGTGTTTTACTCTGTCCTATAGACGGGAATCCACGAGTCTTTGTTAATAATCTTCCCCTTCTTCTTGTTACAGGAGCTTCTCCTTATCAGAGATCCCTAAGAGAAGAAAACAGAGATCACCTGAATAAAGCTTGGAAGGAGGCATCTTTGAGAAGGTGCCTTCTCTCCTGGCTTAGCTGTGGAGAGGGCAGTTCCGTCTAAGGGACACATCCCTCTCACCCAGTTTCTCTCACTTTGCATCAGAGCAACAGATTTTCATAATTGGCAGAATACTTGGTGAGGTTATTGCTTCAGCAACTAAAGAAGGCAAGATTCATACCTGGTGCCTTGATGACTTTTACCAATGTCTGTCCAATCTTGGCTAATTTTTTGTTTAGGAAACCATGGTGAGTAGTGAGTAGAACATTGGACTAGGAAACTGTAGGTTCAGATTCAAATCACAGCTTTGCCACTAACTACTTTGTGGCCTTGATCAAGTCTCCCTTTCTCTGAGTCTCAGTTTCCTTAACTATAGTATTTGAACTCCAAGTTCCCTTTCAGCTCTGACATCCTATGGTTCTGCTATTTCAAAACTCATAAGGACAAGAATGTATCTGAAAAGATCAACCAAACAATTCAAGTTAAGTATACACACACACACACACACGTGTATATAAACATATTTATACACACATGCATATTTGTTTTTGTTTTTGTTTTTTGCCTAGGCAATGGCGTTAAATGACTTGCCCACAGTCACATAGCTAAGTGTCAAGTGTCTAAAATCACATTTGAACTCAGGTCCTCCTGACTCCAGGGCTGGTGCTCTATTCACTGCACCACCTAGCTGCCCCTGTATTTTTGTTTAAAACACATGTATGTATATTTGTGTGAAGGGGAAAGAACTCTGGTTTGGGATATAGAGGATGTGGGTTTGAATCTTGATTCTACTGCCTGCTGCTAGTGTGACATTAGGCAAATAAGTTCGTTTCTTTAGGACTCAGCTTCCTCATCTGTAAAATGACGGAATTGGACTGGATGTCCCCTTAAGTTCCTTTGAGTTCTAAATCTATGAGGCTATGATCTCATGCCTGTCTATACAAATCAATAAACCTAAGTTATACATTAAGACAATTTCTAAACAATGTCTTATAGCTTATAACCAACATTTGAGCTGTTCAGTAGAGCAAAATTCCTTAGGTCCACCCAAGTTCACTGTGATACCTCCAATTGCTCAGCAGTCATTTCTAGGCTGAAGCAACTGGTGGGTTAAAGATTTAGCAATAGAAAGGTCAGAGGTTCTGCATCTCTGGGGGTTAAAGTCCCCCTCCAGATGGAGCCCCTGCTCAGGCACAGCTCATTCTAGGTTTCAGGGATCTTGTTTGTCTTCTTTTCTGGGTCTCCACAGCAAGGATTTTCTTACTTGCTTAAATAGTACTGCGGAGGTGGGTAAAACTACTGAGACAAAATAATCAGTTAATAGTCAGTAAACATTTATTAAGAGCCTACCATGTGATAAATGCTGGGCATACAAATATGGAGAAGAAAAACAATTACTTCTCTGAAGGAGTTCACAATCTAATGGTGGAAGACAACAAAAGGAAACCAAAAGGGATGTGGAAGAGAAGGTACCCGGCTCCTGCATATGGAGGAAAAGATCAGAGGAATATATACTGGTAGTAAATAAAGAGATGGCTAAACTAGGCCCTCTCTTTAAATGCAGGTTCTGAGAGGAGCTCTCCACCCTTTAATCAGAGAGAGAGTTCCCAGGGGCAAAGGGTATTGATATGGTGTGAGATCCAGGGGTGAATTAAAACATGTATGTTTTAGTGCAGGGGGCAGGAAAGGGAAGGGAGGAGATGAGATCATGACTATTCAATCCTAGCCTGGAAATCAGAAGAGAGAACTGACTTGTTTCAAACTTTTTTTGGGTAATAATTTCTATCATAGTATTATGGGATGGTACTGATGTAGGTCACCAGCACTGCCTTTTTATGAAATAGGTATTGTTAGGGTGTGAGACAGTAGAAGACTTCCCAGCTTTCTCAGCTCCTTTAGGGTTAAGAAGTAGTTGCTATTCTTCACCTGGGAGTTGGAAGGCAACCCCTGCCCCCACCCCCCAACCTCTCTGAGAGCTCCTCCTTCCACAAAAGTTAAGCTTAGGGGGAGAGAGATTAATACCAGGCACTCAATTACAATCAGTAATAGTTGTTCCTCTGTTGAGGTGCCATTATCCATTGGGATAAGAATTGGGGGAAATGAAAACTGCTATACCTACTCTTTAGAATACTCCCCATCCCTTATCACACTTTCATTTTCCACCCCTAGATTCAGGAATAGTATTCCTCAGAAAGTGTTCTTCCTCCTTACCCCTCTTCTTCCTGACCCTCCAGTAATTTATAATACATTTATTCTCAGCTGACTTAGGATGAAGAATATGTCCTGCCAGATACTTCCATCCCATTGGCTTGTGAATGACACTGAACCTAATCTTGGGGGGAGAAGGAAAGGGGAAGAAGAGAGTCTGGGAATGTGGATGACTCTGGTTAGGTTCTCTGGACAGAAGTAGTGGTCTAGGATTGCTATGAATTTCTACAGGTGATACTAAATCTTGTAATGCGACAGGCTTCAAATCATCATGATTTCATCTATCCAGTTCATGGGTTCCTTTGTTTCTGTTATGGACCCTTCTGGGCATTTGGTGGACCTGTGAACCCCTTCTCACAATAAGGTTTTTAAGTGCATAAACAAAAGGAAACCACTTATACTGTAATATAGTTATGGAAATATTTTTGAAAAACAAATTCCTGGACCCCTTGAAATCTATCCATGCAAAAGAGATCCTAGGACCCTAGGTTAAGGACCTCTGATCTAGTCTAATCTCTTCACTTTACAAATGGAGAAACTGATGTCTGCCTAGAGAGATAAAACACCCTGACTAAAATAACCCAGCTAGTTCATTAAGTCTGAGGTGATGCTTCAAGGTTTGGGGAACTGGATAGGTCTTATAAAGTTTTAAGGCTTGGTGCTCTATCCACTGCCCCAGCTAGTTGCATATAGCTTACAACTATTGAAAATTTTAATACAAGTAACTAGCTTCTTTATATTCTTAACATCCCAGTGTTCGCAGCATGTTTCAGAGATAGGTCCCCTAACACTACTAAGAACCCACCTTGAAAACATCTATAATAAACCTTCCAGCAGCCAGCTCCCATCAGGGGAAGAGAATTACAGCATCGGAAGGGCATCAAGTCCAACATACTCATTTTACCGATGAGGAAACTGAGACACAGAGAGTTTAAGTGACTTGCCCAGGGTCATACAGCTAGTAAGTGTCTGGAGCAGGCTTTGAAGCCAAGTCTTCATGATTCTAGTTGAAGTCTATCCACTGTGCCCTCCAACTGCTCTACTGAGAGTGGTTTCTAATTCACTTAAGTTCTGACTACCCCAAAACACATTAAAAAGTAACAAAAATTAAATCCTGTGTAAGATAAAGTATAGAACAGTTGAAAGTGAAGACCTCAGTTATGTTATTTAGTATCTGTGAAAACTACTACAAGACATGGTATCGTTTGGGTTCTCAGTTTCTTCCTTTGGAAATGAGGAGACTGGTTTAGATGATTTCGATTGCTTTCCAGCTCAAAAAACTCCATTTAACCCTATCCTATCCAATCTCTCCCAGTCTAGCCTAGTCCATCTATTAATTAACAAGCATTTATTACAGGCCTACTATGTGCCAGGTACTGATACAGGGTACTTGCTGGGAATACAAAGGCATACATAAAACATAACTTCCTGGAAGAGACTATGGTTGTATGTATGTATATGAGTGTATACAAAATAAAGATAATTTTGGTGACAGCAGAAATGGCAGCTGGGGAATCAAGATCTCCTGTAGGAGGAGCCTGACCTATCCTGTCTATCCTCTATTAATGTATTGTTTTAGCTGAAGGCGTCATTGGCTAAGTTTTCCAGGTTTCCCTTACCCTGAGGATTTTGACTATTCATAAAATCTATATTTGATGCCTGGCCCCTTTTTCTTCTATAAATTGTAAACAAGGAAGAAAACATTTATTTCTTTCTGCCCTTACCTATATTTTCTATCTTTTATGCATGATATACCTCTAGTAGGTGACAGGAGAGCCTTTTTGGGAATACTTTCTTTATTGCTCACAGATATTGATAATTAGAAAAAAAGTAGAGACAAGTAGAAGTTTAGTCATTATGATTTCCAGTTGACCAAAGTCACTGTTTCCCCAGAAAAGATTCTTTTCCTTTCTGCACCTGGAAATCTGACAGTAAACAACACAGAAATTTATAGGTCACAGTGGTGACTGTGGGCCTGTAGTGTATTTGCAAGTAAAAGAAATTGGGGTAGGCTCTCATAGGTGTGCTGGAGAATTGGTTATCAAGAATGATGCTTCTAGGTGTAAACAACAAATACAAATTATTTGTTTTAGAAACTTTTTATTACATAGCACCAGGCCGATAGATACACAGGATTGTAAAAGCTGATAATAAAATAAACCAGACCAAACACAGACATTGATTTGCTCTGCTGATCAAAGATTTATATTCAGAAGAATGTGAACATAAATTTACTATTTACTAGCCAAAAGGTTTCTGATTAGAATAAAATGCTTTTCTCCTGTGTTCCTTACTACTAAAAGTTGAAACTACTAGAGCTGAAACTTCCTAAATAGCTTTAGGTTCTGTGGTTTGAACTGAAAGCTTTACTGCTTATATAGTTATTACAATAAATTCCTACTGTTGAATCAGTAACTGTTCATTTGTTTTTGGAGGGGTGTGTATATATGTGTGTGTGTGTGTGTGTGTGTGTGTGTATGTATGTGTGTGTAACTTGTGTAGTTTGAGATGTTTCGGATTTCGCAAATGAGCTGGGGTATGTCGAAAGCACTTTGTATACACAAGTGTGCTGTAAGTATTCCTATTCCTATTTCATTCAGATCAACAAACAAGTATTGAGTACCTACTATGCTAAGTGCTATATTACTTCAGTATAATAAAAAAGAGCCATTCATTGATGGTGCTTGAAGTCTCCTCAAGTGGTCAGAGACCAAGAATTTATTTTGTGGCCAGGCTGAGAAAAGGCTGGAGACCCCTGGTTTTCCCATAGTGGCCACTACCTCTCATACCTTGTCACACATTTATTTCAGGGGTTGGCAGCCCAAGCCTAGCAGTTCTGCGTAGATAGCATCATGCTTATCTGAAGAGCTGACCTTTCTTAGGCATGCTACACCAGGATTGGCTCAAAATGAATGGCCCTCAACTCCTGTTCAAAAGGTCAGCTTTGTTTGATCCGTTCACTGTTATCTTCAGCATAGTTTTCAAAGGACTCTGCTGCAGCCCTTGACTTTTAAATTTGGAAGGGAAACAAGCCTCTCCCAATTAAAGGAAGAGGAACTGAATGAATAGGAAAGCCCCCTTCAATCTCTAGAAGGAGCAACAGATAGAAATTGGGGAACAGCGACTAAACAAACAAAAACCCTCCAAATGTGGGGAATTTAGACAAATTACTGAAACAAAAACTTGCCCAAGTTTTATTCACTTTCCTGATAAGAGAATATTTTGCTTTGCTTTTGGCAGCAGAAATGAACATGAGTTTGTCATCAGCAAAGGGTGACCTTGGATCAGGGGGCCACAGATGCTGTGTGGTCTCCTACCACAGCGAAGAAGCCAAGCATGAAGACCAGGTGATAGAGAATCTCTGCAAACCAACCATAGGAAAAAGCTTAGAACCCCTGACACAGAGCTAGATGGTGCTTTAGACTTCAAGTGGTCCAATTTTCTCCTTTTTACAGGGGGATACTGAGGCCTAGGAAGGGGAAAGGGCTTGCTCAGATGATGCAACAAAGTGAAGTGATGGCTGCCAGCTAATGGAGGACATCTGAGTAAGGTTTGAGGGAAGTTTCTACAAAATCCAATAAGGTGGGATTTTGTTTAGGTTTTAAAAAGTTGAATCTTATTAGAATTATAGACTCAGAATTGGAAGGGATTGTAAAGGTCCCTCACTGGTGGTCATCTCATCTCTGCTTGAACACCTCCAGTGAGAGAGAACTCCCTCCTTTGCAAGGCAGTTCATTCTATTTGGGGGCAGCTCTTGTTAGAAAATTCTTATGTCTGTCCCTGAGTAACTTCCATGCATTGATCCTCGTTCTGCTCTCTAGAGAAACACAGTCTCTTCCCTTTTCCGTGTTCCCCAGAGGGGTACCCGTGGCCTCAAGGCCACATGTGGCCCTCTAGGTCCTCAAGTGGGGCCCTTTGACTGAATCCAAACTTCACAGAACAAATCCCCTTAATAAAAGGATTTGCTCTGTAAAATCTGGACTCAGTCAAAAGGCCACATCCAAGGGGATTTGTCCCTGCATCTAAGCAATCTCTTTTCCTGGCTAAACACCCTGAGTTCCATCAAATATTCTTCCTAAGATCCTGGGAAATTGAAAGGATTAAAAAAACAGTCATGCAGATGTACAGCATACTAGCTATATTAGAGTCCAAACTTACAAATCCTAAAATAGGAGATGACTATTTCAATAAAGGATCCACTGACTCCTAGGATTCCTTTAAGTAACCAGCTCCTCCAATCTTTTAAAAATTGGATGGGTTTTTACAAAGAATCAATTCACATACAACTTTTCAGGCATTGCAGCTCACAGAAATCAAACTAAAATTGTATGTTTAGGACATCCGAGAGGCTTCACAGCAAGGACAAACAGGAATTAGAATTAAAAGTCCCTTATTTGGTGTCAATGTCTGGCCTTCAGTGAAATGTAAACAGTTCTCAACAGTGAGTGCTGCAGAGAACAAGGATTTTGGCAGCTGAAACTTCCTCCTAGAAACTGCTCAAAATCACCTCAGCCTCTAGCTCCTCCTCCCCCGCTTGTCCCCCTTCTCCTCTCCTTCCCACCTCCCTCTCCCCTCCCCCTCCCATCCTCTGTCTTCCTCTCCTCTGCCTCTTCCTTTCCCAACCCCCTCCTCCCTCTCTTCTTTTCCTTAGTTTTCCTCCTTCCCTCTTCTCTCCCTGTTAATATCGACTGCTCCGCCCCCTTCTTTTTTCTTCCTCACCTCCCTCCCTCCTCTCCTCTTTTTCCTCCCCTTTTCTTCATGCCTTCTTCCTTTTCTCTAATATCCTGCTCTCTTCTGCCTTCTTTTTCCTCTAGGTCCCAATACAAACACTCTGGATCACTTCTAACTCTCCTTCCCCCTCATGGCCTCTGCTCTTTCCCACCCTGTCCTTCTCTCATTACCTCATTCAGCTCCTCTTACTTTCCTGTTTCTCCCTGCCTTGCTTCTGTCTCCTCAGAGGCCTTCAATTTCTGTCAGGTCAGGGATGGGGAAAGGATGGGTTAACATTGGTGCTGAGGGTTAGGTGGTGAAATTATTCCATTTTACTTCCCCACCTGCACAATAGAAACAACTTTCATAGTATGGTAGAGGTACTTTTTAAAAAAAATTAAAATTAAATGAAAATTTATTAAAATTAAAAATTTTAAAGGAACTTAATTCATAGTCCTGGAAGGCTTTGTCGGGACCAAAGTGAAATAAATCTTGTTTTTAGTGCAAATCTAAGTGACGTACAAGCAAACAGAACCCCATTGCTTCAAGGTCTAGTACTTTCTTACCTGAGAAAGCATAATGATTGGAGAAGCCTCGGCCTACATTAAGTGGAAAAAACACAATTGTAATCTTAAAAAAGAAAATTTCCTATAGGGAAGGTACCTTAACATAATGTCTTGAGCAAAAGTGAAAGCAGTAGGCTACATTTTGTTTTCATTTTTTAAAAAAATGTACTCCAGGCTATCAGGACGTTTGTATCCTCCAGAGAATTTTGTTTGCAGAACAGATACATCCTATAACCTAGATAGAACTTCAAGACATTCATTCATTTATTCATCCATCCACTCATTCATTTAACAAACACTGATTAAGTTCATATTGTATACAAAGCTCTATGCTAAGGGCTCATATGTACCAAGATAAAAAGTGTCAGTCCTGAGAGAGTACAGAACATTTTTTCATGATAGAGCGACAAGCTTTGGTATGCAATGAGGAGTCTCAAGAGATTCTATTGACCATTTACAGGTATCCTTAAATGGGGTTTATGGCTCAGCATAGCCAATTCAGTTGTATCGACTTGCTACCAGGGCTAACATTAGGTAGAAGAAAAGGTCCACCACCAAGACTGTCTTGACAAGCTAGTACAAATCTTCCCACCGCTTGTGGGTTCAGGCACAACACGACTAATGATGACCCCAGATTGTTTGTAAATCAGAAGTACTTACTACGGATAGAAAGTTCCACAACTAACACTCCTCCAGTCTCTTCATGGAATCGCTTCCTTTTGTCACAGGTCTGAATAGGAAATAGGGTGGGGGAGATGGAGGAGGAAGAGAAGAATGGGAAGGAGAGTAAGAGAGGGGAGAAGAGAAGAGAGAAAAGAAGGAGAGAAGGGAGGAGAAGAGAAAAGAGGAGATAAAAAGAGAGGAAAAGAGTAGAGGAGAAGAGAAGAAAGGAGAGGAGAGAAGAAGAGAGGAGAAGAGAAGGGAATAGAGGAGAGGAAAGAAGAGATCTTAGAAAATGATACAAGCCTATGAAAATATTTAGTAGTCATTTATTTTAAAATTAAATTAATAAAAGTAAAACTATTTACTAGACACTTTTTTTTTAACCTAGGAAAAAACACAAATTATCTGCCAGGCAGTAGATTGGCCTCCCACACTTCCTAGCTAGTAGAAAATTCAATTCAACACAATTCAATAAGCATTTACCCGGTACTTCTCTGTCACATAACAGGGCTAGGAATACAAAGACAAAAGTGAAAACAGGACCTGCCCTCAAGGTGCTCTCAGTGAGTTGCTTGTTTTCATATCCACTTTTCTGGCATAAAAGGTGAAGTTGCACAAATCCAGTGATTTAGCTATGCCAAGGAGAGTGAAACAACTAAGCTTGTGGGGTGGGGGATGGGGGGAGTAGGGGAGGAAGGGAAAAAACAAGTGGAACAAAGCCTGCATTCTTTTGATTTGGACTTTGAACATTTTAAAAAATGAAATCCCACTACAAAGTAATCTATAAATAAGAAAGACTCCAGCTCAGCACACAGGAAGGGAAGCAATGTTAGGGAGTCTACAAGTTTAAAACTATTTTCATAATAATATTAAGATATTTTAACTTAAAATCTGATAAATATCAATTGATATAACCCACATAAAAGCTCTTTGAGGTGGTCTGCAATAATTTTTAAGAGTGTTGAGCTGATCTAATCCAACACCCACTTTTTATGGATGTGGAAACTGAGGCCCATAAAGGTGAATTGATCTGTCCAAGGTCACATAGGTAGTCAGAGGTTCAAATCCAGAGCCTTGACTTCAAACCCTGTTCATGATGAAATGTTCAGTATTTCTAACACTCAAGGAAAGTTATTCTCACATTAGGATGAGTTAAAGACTGGGAAAAACATTCAGGTCATTCTTGAGACTTCTTGCAGCAGAGGTAATAAGGTAAAACTCTGTATACTGACAACATTTTATCTCTGAGGAAAACACCCAGTCCAGTGCTTTCTCTGCACATGTTAGACCAGTGGCTCTCAAAACTTTTTATCTCAGAACTGTTTTACACTTTTAAAAATTATTGGGGCCCCAAATAGTTTTTGTTTATATGTTTTTGGTGGCAGAAATTAAAAGTGATAAAAAATTTAAAATATGTATTAGTTTATTTTAAAGCAATAAATTCATTACCTGTTAACATTACATATTTTTATAAAAATAATTATACTTTCCAAACTTCAAAATAGCGAGAAAAATGGCATCATTTTTCATATTTTTGCAAAGCTATTATCTAACTTAATAGAAGATAGCTCGATTCTCATATCTGCTTCTAAGTCAAATCTGTTGTGAAATGTTTTGGTTTAAATATGTGAAGAAAATCTGGCCTCACAAAGTTATGTAGTTGAAAAATAGGGGAAGGAGTATTTTAATATTTATATTATTATGAAAATAGTTTTGACCTCAAGGACCCCCTGGAAGGGTCTCAGGGATCCCCAGGGGGCTATAGGCCAAACTTTGAGAACTGTTACATTAGATTTTCAATCAGTGCTTGGGAAACAAATGGCTTTTAAAAGTCCCCACTTACTAAATCAAATTGAGATGTCTAGAAGAGTATTTTGCCCATATAGTTTAATTTTTAGCCCCTCCCACCCACTGAAACCTGAGTTTAGGTATTATGTTCTTAGTTCTTGATATTGCCTGTAAATATTTTTGTATGACTATAAGCCAACAGTGACTATGTAGAGCCATAGAAGTAAAGAAGGAGAAATGAAACCATCTTTAGGGAAATGAAGTAAAAAAGAAAGAGGAAAGCAATATTTTCATTAAATTTTAAAAATCACACAATTACCATCCTAGCTTAATATGCTCTAGCAAGTCCTTTTCAACCTTTTCAATGCTGTCTGTCCTCTGGGTTTGTGCCACAGACCTGCCTTATAAGCAAGACTGTCTTAGGAAGACATCCTTGGGGGCTTCAGTGAGGGACTAATTCTCTTTGGGTGGGGTCTAAGAAGAAGGTGACTTATAGAATTTTAGGGGGTTTCTACAGTGTACATTTAATTCAATTATCCTATCCTCCTAAATTATTCACCTTAGGGTCAACTCCAAATCAATTCTTGCATGTGCCATACTCCAGGAGATGCATACTGAAGCAATATATTACTTGGTGGTGCCTCTATGTCTATGTCTATGTCTATGTCTATGTCTATGTCTATGTCTATGTCTATGTCTATGTCTATGTCTATGTCTATGTCTATGTCTATGTCTGTCTGTCTATCTATCTATCTTTTTTTTTGGTATGGGCCTGGGATTTCTTTGGTGTAGGGAGTGCCTAGTGAGAAAATGCTTTCAGTCAATGCATAGCAACTTCAACCCATAGTCCCAGAGGGTTCCTAGGTGGGCATACTCAAAGGGTAAGTGACCTGTCCAGGGTCACTCTGAACCTAGGTCTTCTTGACACCAAGTCTGGAATATATCCATTATACCATACTGCCTCTCAATCCAATAAAGTGAAATTTTAAATTGGGTACTTAAAAAAAGTGAGCCAGGGCTTTTTTTTTTTTCTAAATGATTACTTCAAAAGCATTCTACTAGAAGTCAGGAGGACTGGGCTACTAGTCTTGACTTTGTTATTACTCATATTTGCTATCTTAAGAAAGTGTCTTTACTTCTCTGCATCTCTGCTTCTTCATCTGTAAAATGAATGGGGTTAGAGGACTCAGGGATCTGTAAAGTCCCTCAAAGATCAAATATTCCTGTTTTCCAATGTATTCCTATATTTTCTCTCTAATTTGAAAAAAAGGACAAAAGTTGGAGGAAGAGATAGCTTGCTGAGTTTGTGCCTGTTTTAGCTTTCCAGACTCCAGGGGGACTTGTAAAAGAGTTCCCATGGAAGACAGTGGTAGCTTTGTGTTTGGACCATCTGCCCTTGGGGACAGGAAGCAAGGTTTATGGCCCCTCTGACCTTGATCTCAATGGCCCTCAAAGAGCATGCTTGCAAAATATGACCTTGGTTAATTTTTTCCTTCCAAGTAAACCAGCCAAGATAACAGCCCAGAGCTTCACATTCTATTTCTTGATGGTATGAGTTCAAACAAGGTCACCTAAGTTCTATTTGAATGCTTTTTGTGACTAGGAACTCACTTTCTCAGAGACAGTTTACTTCGCTGGTGGACATATTTGGCTATTAACAAGCTGTCAAAAAATCATCAACTGAAGTCTACAGGAACTTCCTTAAGGAGGAAGGAGGGAAGTTGAAACATCAAAGTCCACTGACTCCTTAGCAGTAGATCTCCAAACACAGGATATCCCCAAAATCTTAGTGCTTAAATTTAATAGCTTAAAATTGCCCTAAGATTTTTGAGATAATTTTTATGAATTCAAAGCAGTATATCCAGCTTGCCATAGTGATATCTCTATAGAGTATGCTATATTATACTATATCATACCATACCACACCACACCACACCACATCGCACCACACCATACCACACCACACTATACCACACCATACCACACCACACCACACCACACCATATTATACTATATATACTATACTATACTACTATACTATACTATACTATACTATACTATACTATACTATACTATGACGTAGCTAGTTAACAAATATTTATTAAGGACTTACTATGTGCCAGACACTGTACTAAGTAAGAGAAGGGCAAAACAGTCCCTGCCCTTAAGGAGCTCACATTCTAATGGGGAGATAACATGTAAATTATTAGGAACGGATAAAGTACATACATAATAGATGGAAGGCAATCTGAGAGGGGAAGGATAAGCAACTCTGGGAACCAGGGAAGGTTTTCTTTGGAAGGTGTGACGTGAACCAAGTACTGAACAAAGCCAGGGAAACCAGAAAATGGAGGTGAGTGGCTGGAACATTCTAGGCATAGGGTCAGCCAGTACAAAAGCATAGAGACAGAAGACAGAGTGCTTTGTTCAAGGAACAGCAAGTAATCTGGGATAGCTAGATCATAGAATGTGTGGAGGAAAGTAAAAGGAACACAGTTTAGGAAGGGCATTGGTAGGTTGAAGAGAATCCAGAGGTCTGCAACCATAACAGTAAAGGGCCTCAAGTTCCTACGCTGTGCCAAGCATTGTTACAAAGAAAGGCAAAAAGCAGTCCCTGCTCTAAAGGAACTCAGTCTAATGGAGATGACAGGTGAAAATAACTATTTACAAACATATATATATATATATGTATATGTGTGTGTGTGTGTGTATGTATAAATATATATATATATATATATGTATATGATAAATTGGAGATAATCAATAGTTTGGCTTAGCTACAGAGTGGAAAGTTGCAAAAAGGAATATGGCATACGGAAAATCTTATGAAAAATCAGAGCCATTCCAAAAAACAAAGAACTGTTTCAGGAGGTAGTCTTCCCCTTCATCAGAGGTCTTCAGACAGAGGGTAGATGATGATTTTTTAGTTATGCAATAGAGGAAATTCCTATTCATGTACAAATTGGACTAACTAGTCTTTGAGGTCCTTTCCAACCCTCAGATCATCGTCATTACCACCACTACTACCACCACCATGACCACCATCATCATTATCACAAACGAGGAAAGTAAGGCTCAGTTTTGAGATTAATTTGAGGTCACTAGCGGCAGGCCCAGGTCCCTGAACTCTAACCTAGTGCTCTTTCTTTCTGGAAGAATTTCCATTGACCTACAACACCATTCCATTTTAAATCCCCCCTGGTTAAAAATAAAGTCCTTCAAGTATTGGACTCCCCCCAAGTTGGCATCTGACCCTGTAATGCTAGCAAGAAGAATTACTCTCTGAAGACTGATAGAAGACTGACTTACCACTGGGCAGGAGAACTTTTCACTGTCACAAATGAACGTCTCACAGTGTAGCCAAACCTTGGAGAGTTTGGGCACGTTCTGGAAGCGGAAAGCATTGAACTGAAAAGTTGCTCTGTGATCCTTGCCATTTTCATGCACCAAAACAGTTTCATCAGTGGGGCATCTGAAAACACACAATGAGAAGCAGAAACCAAAGAACCACTCTCTGACTGATTCCTGGCTTGGTCTCCTAAGGCGATGTAGATATGACTAAGTAGAATGGGGGCCACTCTTTTGAGCCCATAGTGTTATGGTCCATGCAGATCACTAGGGAAGTGCTGGATTAAGAGCAAGTTCACACAGCAGCTGTCCTTTTAAAGTGTTTTTCATAAATCCCCTTGTCTAATCAACTAGTCATACCAACATTCCAGGGGTTTTGGTAGAGACCATTTTTCCAATGAAGTTTCAAATCTACAGAGTTTGCTTTTTTTCCCCCAATTGCACCCATAACTCTTGTCTTTAGGTAGGAGGACTAGGGGGCTGAGCTCCATCCCTCAGTCTCCTACCCTTTAAAAACGTTGATTTTTTTGTTTTTATATGACCTTTATTTCCCAATATGTTTCTTTCCCTCCTTGGAGAGCATGCCAAAGAAAAAAAAAGAAGAAAAAAAATCAGATCCACAAAACTAACCCACATGTCAACTAGCATCAGAGAGCACGTACAGTGTTTCATAGATTCAGTTAAAACCAATTTCTCTCTCCTCTCCGTGTCTCCTTCCCTTTTCCTCTCCTCTCTTTCTCCCTTTCTCTCCCTTTCTCTTTCTCTCCCTTTCTCTCTCTTTCACTTTCTCTCCTCTTATACATATACACACGCACATACACATTTATATACGTGCATATATTATATGTGGTGGGGGAGGTGATTATAACCTTTCACCTCATTGGTGTAATTACCTCATTCCTGAGAAGGAAACTTCCTCTACCAAAGCTGTTCAGCAATTGCTTTAAAACTGTCTTAAAGAATGGCCTGGGGGCATTAAGAAGTTAAGTGACTTACCTAATGAATCAGAGGAATAACTTGAAACCCAGGCTTCCCATCTACACATTTGCTCTCTCTCCAATACGCCATGCTGCCTCCCCAAAAGTCACGTAAAAATTTAGTCAGAAGAATGGTTATTTCTTTGAGCAGAGATTCCATGTGGTGTATGTGTGTGTGTGTGTGTGTGTGTGTGTGTGTGTGTGTGTGTGTGTGTGTGTGTGTGTGTGTGTAGACAAGCAAGAAGAAGAGGAAATCTATTGGGCCTTTTGTCCTTTCAAGTGGCCCATGGACAATTAGATTAGATATTTTGCTTCTGGAAGCACTATGAGGACAAAAAAAAGGCTAATGCACCTCCAGAGTGCTTCTCTCCCACTCAATATATGTGGCTCAAACAGGTTCATAAATGTAAGCACAGCTACTGTGATATTCTATGAATTCTTTCTTACCATTCTGTCACTGACTTCCCAAGTGACCTTAGGAGAATTGTTTCCTTCCTCTGGACCTCATTTTCCTCATTTCTAAAATAAGGGGCTTGAACTACATAATTTCTAAGTTTTCTTCCAGTTCTGATATTCTATGTCAGGTTATAAACTTGGACGACCTTTGGGCCTCAGATTCCTCATCTTTAAACTAAAGGGGTTGAAGTAGATGACCTCTGAGGTCCCTTTTATCTCTAAATTTATGATCCTATGGTCCTAAGGAGAATGATCCAAGAATCTTTGGTTCATCAGGTCCAGGTCCAACTGGGAGAAATAAGAAATAGAAACTTGAAAATTCCAGTGCTGAGAGCCAACCTTTGGTGTGTCTTAACTCTAATTCAAGGTTGTTCTGGTGGTTCCTCTATCTGTGTTGGCCCCAGACCAGTGATGGAGTCATAGACACTTACTGAGTTGTGAAATTCAACTCCATGTTGGTCAGTAAACCTGAGATCTTTGGTTGAAACTAAGCAGGTCCTTAAAATAGCTCACTAAAATGAGTTTCCTCATGCCATGTAATAATGACTTTAGCTGGTGGGAAAAAACAGAGCTGGGGGTAGGGAAGAAGCAGGATGAATAGTGCAATGATGGATGGGTAGGCATGATTATCATGTTTAGATCATTCAGCCCTACTTCCTCTTGGCACTTTGAATTCCTGGCGCTGGGCCCCTGGGAGACTGAATTGGTCCAGGCAATGTTGTAATCCATCTCTCCCCAACCCTCAGTGACTTATAATAGTGGTTGAGTGCAAATGTTCCTGCCCTAGGGCCATATGTGATTGTCACCTGAATATTGCAAAATAAATCATATTTGGTGAATTTGTGTGTAAAGAGAAATCTCTGGTGTTTTGACTATTCTGCTCTCTCCAGGAGTCTAGAAAATTAATCTTTCTTCCTGATCAGAGTGGAAGAAATAATGTTTGGTAAATTCTGGGGCATTGCTTTCTAACTTTGTGATTAGTCCCCAGCACCAGTATTTCCAGAACATTCACAAAGTACTGCTAAATGTTCTAGGCATGGTAGAGATTTGTGTCAAAGACAGAACCTTCCAGAAGTACACAATGTTGCACATGTATAATATGGGGACAGTAAGGATGATTTAAGGAAGGATAATGAATGTGCATTAAGCAAGAAAGCATTGAGCATTATGATTCGCTGTGCAAACCTTTGTGACATTGCAATCATAAGAGAAAGAATCAGAGGTTTTAAAGTTATCCCCAGTCCATACCAGCCAAGAATTCATTTGAGGATCCTCCAAGTTATTTGGTTGGTATAATTTTCTCTATTTCATAAACAGTACATCATTAATATGGATAAAACAGCTATCAAAACTGCTCCTGAAATCCCACTGCCCCCAGAAGGAAGAAAATCTTCCTGGACTGTCCAGATATGATCCAATGCCTCTCACTCTGCCTGGAAATCAGACTTCCATGGCTGCTCTACCCCACTAGTTATCCAAAATATCTTGCCTCCCCAGGACATCCTTCACCCTGATATATAATTGATGTCAATACTTAACTGACTTCAATTAAGGCTAATGTTTTTATTTTGTCTCAGCTCTATGGGCCTCTGTCTGACAGTTCCCTTTATATAATACATACTCACAAATACATGAAAAGGTCACTGATTCTGGATTCAGAGAGATTATTACTACCTGTGTGACCTTGGATAAGTCACTTGGATAAGTCTCCCTAGAGTTCAGTTTCCTCATCTATAAAATGAGGGAATTGGAATCAGTGGCCTTTTATTGTACCTTCAGAGCTATAATTCTCCATTTCTAAATGGATAACTGATTCAGGTTAAATGTGATTAGACATTTACTTCAAACTGGGAGTACAACTTTAGCCGTTTCCTTGAATGGTGTAGCTAAGGCACCTGGAAGGAGTTCTTCTTCCCAGCACCTCTCAATGCATGAAAGCCAACAGCCTGAAAAAGGATCCAGACCCCATCCTACAACCATGACCCATCAGAAAGTGTACATACCCTTTACCAATTAGCTGCCACTGCATGGGATACATGAAGTCTGCTGAAGGTGTGGCCCAGCAGCTGTTCAGGACCACCTTAAACCTGAAAGGAAAACAAAGGACCATTGAACCAGATGTTCTTTTGCTCAGACAGGGCTGCAAGCAGCTTTCTTTTTCAATCCAAATTTCAGTGGGGCTGGTTTCCTTACCTAATACTTAACCCTTTGGCTTCCACGCCTGCAAACAAATCCGACCCAATTTCTGAGGTTTCCAACACAAAAGGGGCTTCTTTTTTAGTGGAGAACTTGGCATTCTTTGGAAAGAAATATGTATTGAATATTATGATCCCTTGGACTGCCCGCTTGGGGCTCAGTGAAAGAAACTGTTCAGGGGTCAGTTCCGGGGGGGGGGGCGGGGAGTAAAGAAGGACACAGAGGGATCATCTTTCCAGTTACAGAGAAGTCAGTGGGTGATAAGGACCACGTTTTTTTCAATGGGTGAACTGGGTTATAGGGAGAGGCAAGCTACCCACAACTATATACATGGAGAATGAGATTTGGTTTGAAGGATCTAGACCAGGGAAGGATTTTAGAGGCTGTCAAGTCCAATCCCTTTAATTTGCAGATGAGGGTTCGATTCATAGTATAAATGAATTATTAGTAGAAAATGAGGAAACTACCTATGTGGCTCCTGGCAAATCACTTAACCTATCCCAATCTGTTTTCTCCTTTAACTCTGCCCTATAGAAACTTGTTCTCTTATTAACAAACTGTCCTTCATATGAGATGTCTTCCTCTCACGTACCTTTCATTTGCACATTTCAATCACAGAAACCTGGCTCCCCTTTGAAGATAATACATCCCTGGCCACCATCTCCAGGACTAGATTTATGTTCCCTCATGCCCCAATCCAGATAGGTCAGGACAAGGAGTAGGTATGCTTCTTGCTCCTCATTGTTATTTCTAGGCCAGGAATGGGGAACCTTCAGCCTCAAGACCACATGTCCTCAAGGTTGCAGGTTTCTCACCCCTGTTCTAGACTTTTCCCTTGCTACCATCATTTAGCAAGCTATTTTTCTCTGAGGTTCACTTCATCTATATATCACCCTATTCAGATCCTAGTGTCATTTATCTACAAGCCCTCCTTTCTGAAGGAGATTAGTGATTGAATGCACTGTCCTCATACTCTCTATTCTAATGTCAGCCTTTCTGCTTAGGGGCTTCAATTTTCATGCCATTATCCTCTCAAAAACCCTTGCTTCCCATTTTGGCACCTCAGTCATACACAGGAATGGTCATCCCTTTGATCTCACCATTGACAGTAAATGTTCTGCATAATCAATAACTTTGGAATTGCTCTATCTGACCACAGCTTTCTATTCTCTAATCCCAGTGCCTTGCCTCTGCTAAACCTTTTCTCCGTCCTAATCATAACCTCCAATTATTACATCCTTCCTTTCCTTCGAAGGCCATTACTTATGCTGGCCTCACTTTGCTCCCTTTAAAATCTTGACTCTATAGTTAATCAGTTCAACTTCATCCTGTTCTCTGTATTTGAATTCTTCTTTCCTTGTGTTTGGAAGCTCATCCCATTCTATACCTCAACCCTAGCTTACTCTCACCATGCGCCTCTTTGCCCTTCTACTCCAGTAATGCACTGGAAATAGTCACCTAGCTGTGCTGACTAGGTCCTCTACAAATATCTAATCTTAATTGAGCCCTCACTTCTTCAGGCCAATACTTTCACTCTTCTCTGACTGTTTGTTTCTTGAACTTCCCACAGAATGGTCCAAACCAGGGGTGTTGATGAGATTACCAAAAGAGAAATTACAGAAAGAAAAAAAAAACAGCCCAGGAAAAAATCCTGGTGGCATGCCCACACAAAGGATGCTAAGAAGAACCAGTCAGGTGGGTAGAAGGAAAATTCAGGAGGAGAATTAGGAGAAAACAATGTCATGAAAAACCCAGGCAAAGAGAGTATCCTAGAAGAGGGAGGAAAGGAGTGGTTCACAGTATCAAACTCTGTAGAAAGGTCAAAAGAATGAGGATTCATTATAGGCCATCGGCTTTAGCAATAAAGAGATCACTACTGATCCCCATAGACAGTAGTTTCAGTTAATTTATAGGATCATAGGCTGGAATGAAAAGGATTAAGAAATAAGGAAGAGGTGAGAAAGCTGAGGCAGAGAGTTAGACAGCATTTCCCCCCCCCCCAGTTTGTTTTTGAAAAGGAAGGAAGATGTAGGATTATAGCTTGAGAAGCTAGTAAGACCAAGTGAAATTTTTGGTTTTTGTTTTGTTTTAAGCACGAGGTAAATCTAGACATGGGCCAGGAAGACTTGTCTTCTTTTGTTCAAATCTGGCCTCAGACACTTACTAGCTATGTGACCCCGGGCAAGTCACTTAACTCTGTTTGCCTCAGTTTCCTCATCTGTAAAATGAACTGGAGAAGGAAATGGCAAACCACTCCATTATCTTTGCTCCAAAATACCCTAAATGGGATCACAAAGAGGCAGACGTGATTAAAATAACTGAAAGACAGTAATAACGAATCTAGACACATGTAGACAACAGGAGAAAGAACTAGTAATGGAGACTGAAAATTAGGGAGATGGTAGCAATGACCGAAGGACCAAACTCAAGGAGGAGACTTTAGAAGACGTGTTAGGTACAAGCAGAAGGGCTGCCCTTGACGAGAAAAAGGGCCATCTCCTCATCAGAAACTGGAGCAAAAAAGGAAAAATAGATGATGCGATGTTAAGGAAATCTGAGGATTAGAAGTAAGAAGAAAAGTGAGAAGAGAGGTATGTCATCAATTTCTGCTGTAAAAGATGATGTGAGGTCATCTGCTAGGGTCACAGGAGGGTGTGGTATAGATGGCTAGAGGAGTAAGAAAGTTTAGACTAGGGGTGGGGAACCTGCGGCCTGGCCTTGAGGCCTAAAGGGAGGTCCTTTGACTGAGTCCAAGTTTTACAGAACAAATCCTTTTATTAAGGGGATTTGTTCTGTTGAAGTTAATTGTCACCTCTATAAAGATAAACCCCAAATCTACATATCTAACCATCAGCTTTCTCTCTCTCTCTTTTTTTTTTTTTGTAGTGAGGCAATTGGGGTTAAGTGACTTGCCCAGAGTCACACAGCTAGTAAGTGTTATGTGTCTGAGGCCGCATTTGAACTCAGGTACTCCTGATTTCAAGGCCAGTGCTCTATCCACTGCACCACCTAGCTGCCCCCATCAGCTTTCTCTTGAATGTTAATTCTATATCACCCACTTTCTGCTGGGCATCTCTACCTGGATGTCTTATAGCATATACTTCCCCACCTCCCCCAATCATTATCTTTAACTGCCTATTTTTTTTTTACATTCCCTATTTTTAAAAAACATCCTTCCAGAAACCTAGGTTTGAATCCCAGGATTCATTCTTGACTCTTCATTTTCCTTGATCCCTCCTCATTTCCTGCAAGTTGCCAATACTCATCAATTTTACCTCCACAACATCTTTTATATGTGGCCCTTCTCTTCATTCATATAGCTCAATAGCTTCTAGCCTAGACTACTAATATAGTCTCTTAATTGGTCTCCTTGTATCCAGACTGTCCCCTCTTCAATCCAACTGCCAAACTTATGTTCTTAAAGCAGAGATAAAATATTCAATCAACAAACATTCATTAAACACCTACTGGGTACCAGGTACTGTATGAGGTACTGGCAATGCAAAGACAAAAGGTGAAAGAGTCCCTGCCTTCAAGAATATTACATCTTACAGGTCTGACCATGTCACTTCTCTGTTCAAAACCTTCCCTAATTCTGTATTGCTTTAAAGATAAAAATGGAAAAAAAAATTTATTTGACATTTAAAGTCCAGTATAATTTGAGTCCAAGCTATCTTTTACCCTGACTTCCTGACATCCAAAACATCTTTCTAGGTGGACTTCACATCATTCTCCCTCATATACTCTACCTCACAGTCAAACTTGCTTACTAGATGGTCTCTGTACAAAACTTTCCACCCCCCTGACCTTGCAAAGTGTCTTTCATGCCTGGAGTGCTATCCATCTCTATCTCCACCTCTTAGAGCCCCCAGGTCTATTACAGGCTCAGCTCCTACTACTAAAGATATCTCCTAATTCCCCTAGTTGTTAATCTTTCCTTGCTCAAAATAAACTTTGTGTTTATCTTTAAAATATATAATTTTGCATTTATTTATTTATCTGTGTAAATTTATTTTCACCCAGCAGAACACAAGTTCTTTGAGTGGAGGGGCTTTTTCATTTTCATCTTTTTATCTGTAGTACCTAGTTGGAGCTTAATAAATGCTTGTTGAATTAAACCACTCCGACCTTTGTTTCCTTATTTGTAAAAGAATGTGGGCCAAGGCAATTTTTTTTAATCCACCATGTTGGCACTGCCCCTAAGATAATTTCTAAGATTCTTTCCCACCTATCCTTTGAGTCTGTAACTGTTTCATTGAGCTCTTGCAAAGAATGGTGATGAACCTAGGAGCTGTGGAACTGGAAATTATCTTTAATGTGTTAACCCACTCAGAAAGCCAAAGGTCCAATGAATCTATCTTTATTTACTTTTGAGACATTTCAGGCTGTGTTGGAAAGTTTATGTAGTGAGTTAGCTTATTCAATATACTCCAACATTCTAATCTCTAGGTCCATTCAACTAGTACTAATTATCAACTGGTGGTGAAGTGGAAAAGAAGGTATCTTGGTTCAGAAACATGGGGATTAAAGCCCAGTTTCATGTCAACTACAGGACTCAAATTCCATATCTCTCTTTCTCTTAACTGACAGACTTCTTGAATAGATAACTTATACCCAGTGACCACCTGGCATTACCATTCTGTTGAGACTGTTCTCTCTTAAGTCACCAATGACTTCCTAATTATCAAAAGGAATCACTTTTCTCAGTATCCACCCTCCTTGATCTCTTTGAGGAAGATGAAATCATTTATTACCCCCTCCTTCTCACTCTCTTTACCTTTGGCTTCTATTATACTACTCTAGGTTCTCTCCCCTATCTCTCAAATTGCTTCTCCTGTCACTCTCACTGCTTCTTCCTTCCTCATTCTCTTAATAGACATTCCCTAAGGCTCTGTCCTCATCCTTCAGCCCTTTGACCTTGTCTATGTTTTCTCCCTTGTCTATTTAACCCACTCCCACAGTGCCAACTATTCCTTCTACATTTGTTTAGTTTCAACTGTGCCTCTGGGCTCCAAAGCCCCATCTTTAACCACTGGCTAGTGGATAGTTCATGGGACTTGTAGTCAGGGAGACCTAGATTCACATTCTACCTCAGAAACTTATCGTCTGTGTGACCTTGGACAAATCACCTTTGGGCCTGAGTGTCTCTAAAATGAGGAGTTTGTACTTTGCCTTTGAGGTCTTTTCTAACTCTATGATACTATACTTTTCCTTCCTTCAGTCTCTGTCCCCCTTCATTATATCCTACGCACTATACATCTATTGCTAGTTTAACTTATCAAAAGCACAGATCTAGTTAAGTCACTACCCTGTCAAAAAATCATTTGTGATACTGCCTTGCCAAATAAAGTCCAACCTCCTTGGGCGATATTCAAAGCCTTTCACAAATCTGGCTCTAACTTACCTTTCTAGTAATATTACTCCCTTTTATGTGCTACTTACACTCTTAATTGAACATGTCTCTTTCTCTTTTTCTTTCCTCTGATCTATCATTATATTATTCCCTAATCCTTGAATGGGTCAGCTAGCTGGCACAATGGATAGACTGCTGAGCTTGCAATTAGGAAGACCTCTCTTTGTGAGTTCAAATCTGGCCTCAGACACTTATTAGCTGTGTGACCCTGGGCAAGTCATTTAACTTCATTTGCCTCAGTTTCCTCATATGTAAAATGAGTTAGAGAAGGAATGGCAAACCACTCCAGTATCTTTGCCAAAAGAAGTCACAAAGAGTTGGACACAACTGAAAATGACTGAACAACAACAAAATCCTCAAATGCCTTCTCCCCACATACCTATTTGTTGAAACTTACCCATCGTTCAAGGCTCAGCTCAAAGGCCACCTCCTTGATGAAGTGTTCATCAATGCCCTTAGAGTGAAGTGTTCTCTCCCTTTGAACTCTAGCAATGCTTCTTCTTAGTATTTTTAAGGCCTTCACATTCTGCTTTATATTATAGGTATCTGCCTATCTGTATTATCTTCCCTAATGGATCATAAACTCCAATAGGTTGGGGACCTGCCTTACTGGTATTGGTTTCTCTTTCAGTAGCTGGCACAGAACCTTCTAAGTGCTAGGTGCTCAATGCATGTTTGTTGAATGAATGGATGGATGGAATAAAGTTGAACTCGAGCCCAGAATGATTATCAATTAGCTTCATGTTTGGCCCTGTGACTTTAACCATATCCTTCCTGCTTTTCCAAATATATCACCTGCCCATCAATTGGGGAATGGCTGAACAAGCTGTGGTATATGAATGTAATGGAATACTATTGCGCTATAAGAAATGATGAGCAGGCAGATTTCGGAAAAACCTGAAAAGGATTACATGAACTCATGCTGAGTGAAGTGAGCAGAACCAGGAGAACATTGTACACAATAACAGCAACATTGTGTGATGATCAACTAGGATAGACTCAGCTCTTCTCAGCAATATGATAATCCAAGACAATTTCAAAAGACTCATGATAGAAAATGCTATCCCCTTCCAAAGAAAGAATTATGGATTCTGAATGCAGATCAAAGAATACTATTTTCACTGTGTGTTTTCTTTCTTGTAGTTTTCCCCTTTTGTTCTGATTCTTCTGTCATCACATGACTAATGCAGAAATATGTTTAATATGATTACACATGTATAACATGTCAGATTGCTTGCTGTCTTGGGGAGGAGGAGGAGATGGAGGGAGGGAGAAAAAATTTGGAACTCAAAATTTTATAAAAGTGAATGTTGAAGGGGCAGCTAGGTGGCACAGTGAATAGAGCTCTGGCCTTGGAATCAGGAGGACCTGAGTTCAAATCCAGCCTCAGATACTTAACACATTCTAGCCGTGTGACCCTGGACAAGTCACTTAACCCCAATTCCCTTGCCAAAAAAAAAAGTGAATGTCAAAAACTATTTTTACGTGTATTTGGAAAAAATAAAATACTAGTAGGTAGGAAAAAATTAAAAAAATAAACAAAATAAAATTCAAAAATAAAAAAATAAACAAAGGGCATCCCCACCGGAGCAGAGTAGAATAGAAGCACTTTGAGATGAGGATATATTTATTTTTTAACTCTTGTAACCCCCAATTCCCAATATAGTACCTTGAACATAGGAATAAGGACTGGGTCTATGATTTCATTGACATATGGAAATACCAGATGAGGACACAACCAATGTGTGTTGGCACCTTCTTAGCAATTTATGGTTTTAGAGAGTTACCCAGAGCATAAAAAGGTTAAGTGACTAGCTCAAGATCACACTGCCAGGATATATCAGAGGAAGGACCTGAACTCAGGTCCTCCTGGCTCTGAGGTGAACCTTTTACCCACTATGTCTGCTGCTTCTCTGCCTCACACATCACAGGCATTTAACAAATACTTAGTGGGTTGGATTATATCTGGTACTGCTGCCTGTTTCTTGTGTGGCTAAAGATTATGAGGTAGATAAGCAGCCTAGAAGGAATTTTCTTTTTGGCTTCAGAATCTGGAAAACTTTCCATTAAAATTCCTAATTTGGAGGGGAGGGGAGGGAAATAGTCTATTGGGAACTTGTCTTTGGTGCCTCATGGAATTCAGAACATTCTGCTGCTGAGTTGATTTCCTTATGCAATGTAGATCAAGGCCCCTGACCTGCTAATTGGATGGAAATATATGCAAGGATTGGTTGCTGCTTCAGCAACACATATGAATGCTCTCCAAGGAAGTGGACTAAACCAGCCCTGCCCCCAAAAGGCAGATGACTGCATGAGTCAGGCTCTGGAACCAAACCACAAACCTCATGGCTCTGGGGAATGCTAAACAGACAAGAGCAGCACTGAGTGGGAAAGAAGCAAGAGTTAGAACCCTCTTATCTTCCTTAGAGTCTGGATCTGAGGTATAATCCTGGTACCCCACCCAGCTTGAGGATGCCCTTTTTGAAACAACTTAAAGTCCTGACAGGAGGGCACTGAGGACATGCCTCCTATATCCTGCACTCCTGTTAAATGGGACACAATAGACAGACCTGACTGAAAGGGAGGGAATATTCTCTGGGAAGAAGACTTCCTAAGAACATTGTCATCTTTCTCATTTAAACCCCTGCCAAATAAGCAGATGATTCTGCATTTTTTAATTTTGTTTGATTAAAATAATCATAAAACAAAAAAAACCCCAACCTCCAGAAAAAAGTGGGAAGCTAATACAACCTGTTGCTTAGCTACTAGTTGGTGGCCACTCTGCACAATGTATACATTCCATGCTTGGATTCCCTCCAGATCCCATATGGATAGAGCATTTGTCCTCTGCCACCACCTAGTCTCTGCATTATTTCAAAGCCCTGGAAGCCCCACATTGTATTGACCAATTTTGCCTGCTTGCCAAGAAAGGCTTAATGAGGTCCTTTCTCTCAGAATTAGATGTGCTGTTAACTACGGACACATTTTCTACAGAAGACTGTGTTCATAGAAGAAAGAGCCCTGGGTCCTTTTCCTTCCTCTGCTTCTGGCCAAGTCTCCTCTCTTCTCTTAGACTTAGTTTCCTCATCTGCAAAATTCTGGTTTACACTACATGATCTCAAAGGTCCCTTTGACCACCAAGATTCTATGGCTACCTTCCTGGAGATGGCTTTCCCTAGTAAAGTATTTGTGTGGTTGTATATGCAAACGCAAATTCATGTGTGTCTGTGCATGTGTGTATATGTACACATCTGGTATGCCTGTTCACAAAGCAGGTTACACAAAACAGATGCTGGGAGAAGGGGACTACTTTTTGTCTCAAATTAGGAAGGCACCAGTAATAACTACAGTTAACTGAGGACAGAGGAGACAAGCTAAAGGCTTTTGATAGCCCAAGTAACAGATTTATGCAGCAGGGACAACCACACACACATGTGCACACACACACACACACACACACACACACACACACACACTCACTCACTCACTCCTTCCTCACACTCTCTTTACCTTCACCCTAATCAATGGAATGTTTCTTAGCTCCTTGTTCTAAGGAGCTTGCCACTCAGACTCAAATAACTGATGCCATAAATATAATCTGGGTCTCCAATATAAGGTACTAATGTGGAAATAATAGAGAGAACTTTGGAATCAAGATCCAAGAAATCCAAATTCCAAGCCCAACTCTGTCATTAACCAACTGTGTAACTTTAGGCAAGTCATAAAATCACAGGGTAAGAGCGAGAAGAGGTCTTCCAGGTCATTTCATCTCAACCCCTCATTTTACAGATGAATACATTGAAGTATAGAGAATTAGGTGACTTTTCCAAGATCATACAATCAGTAAGTGACAGAGTTGAGATTTAAACCCTTGTCCTAATTCCAAATCCAAAGCTCCTTCTTCATTTGTAAAATAAATTGAACTGCTTAACTTAAACTGAAGTTTAGAGCTTGATTGAATGTTGGAGTTTTAACCTTAACTAGTGGGTGGAACATGTTGGGGCGGGAAGAAGAAGGAAAGAACAGATACATACAGGTAAGTCCAGGGGTCTCTCATATTGACCATAATGTAACCGAAAAGTAGTAAGTAAAGAAAACTCACGGTATAGAAGTTCAGAGACAACTGGCTTTCAAAGGAGCCTATGCTCCCGTTCTTGACATGGACTGTGGCCACTCTGGAAAGGGGAGAGAGTTTTGCATAAGGACTGAAACATGCAAGATTGGAAGGGGCTCCAGAGTACATGCATGCTGTGTGTCCTCTTTGCCCAGAAGACTTACCTCTGATCAAAGGCAGCCTGGTTGACCAAGTAGGTTGAATGATACGTACAAGAGAAGGAATAATTCACCGGTTGGCTCTTCACAATCACTGTGCTGTCGTTGGACACAATGTGGCTGAAGAAATGGTAGATAGGGGGCTTGTACTGGAGTCAGAAAGAGGAAGAAACAAGGTCATGTTTCCTTGGTGACCCTGGGGATGCTGTAGGAATGGGTTGGGGAAATGAATGGAGAGTTTTGTATGCAGATTTTTAAATGGACAGCATTTGCAAGTGAAAAACCAAAGAGGAAAAGAATTCAGATCAGCCTCTGGAGTTTGCTATTACTTTCTGGATTTGTAGAGGGAAGGTTTTGATTTTCATCAATGAAGTTTGGGATAATATGAGCCAAAATTCCTGGAGCAGTCCCTGACAGACTCTTTCCCCAGAAATTAAGAACTGAAAACATTACAAGGTCATGTTTCACATATACCCATCTGGCTCAGGTTCTTTCTCCAGTACTAACTCATTTTCCCTTTTTGTAAGCTTTCTTGATCGGCCTTCAGAGCCCAGAGCCAGTGGTGTCCCATGGGGTTGCTACAATAAAAGAACGTTGTAAAATGTAAAGAGCTATACCAACGTGAACCAGAAATAGTAGTAAATAACTTTTTTTTTTATCATGTTCTTCCTGACTGTGTTGCCAGGAAGGCAAAGCACCTTAGTGGGTAGAGTGTTAGATTTGGAGTCAGGGAAGGTCTTTTCCATTTCTACCTCTGGCACTTGCCAGCTAGCTATGTGACCCTAGGCAAGACAACAAGCATCTTTGAGCCTAGGCAACTTTCTAAGACCCTAAGTCAGAGAAAGTTGTGATTTGCCTCGGTGGGGTGAGATTCTGTAATCACAAAAACATAGTTCCTAAATAATTCCAGAATGCAGCACAGAACATTCTGACCTTCTAAATAAAGCAAGAGTTCTTAACTTGCAGTCTGTGAACTTTAAAAACAAAATTTTGATTACTTTGTTTCAATATAATTGGTTTCCTTTGTACTTTCTTTTATGCATTTAAAAACATTATTCTAAGAGAGAGGTCCATAGGCTTTCCCTAGACTGGCAAAGGGGTCCAGGACCCAAAAAAGTTCTCTGTAAACAGAGGAAGGTCTCTGTGGAGGAATATTTTCTTTCCCTCAAACTTAACAGAGGGCAAATCTGCTGACATTCAGGGAAATGAAGTACATAGTCAACAAATAGTCAATGGATACTTATTAAGTACCTGCTACATGCCAGGTATTGTGCTAAATGCTGGATTGAAATGTTGGAAACAATTGCACTGGAGTTGGAAGATCTGAGTTGGTACACCAGTTTCACCTGTGTGATCTTGGATAAATGACTTCATGTCTGAGACCCGGTTTCCTCATCTATTCAATTAAGGGATTGAACTAAATAATCTCAGAAGTCCCTTTCAACTCTGTGATTCTATGCCCAACGTCCAGTATTTTGTGAGGATTCATTTTTTAAGTTGTTTCATGTTTTAATAACTGTTCTCCACTGACCCAGGACTGGCCTTACCTCAGATTGGGTTCCACAATAGGACTTGTTTTTAGGTGACAGGTCAGGGATTGTGAACTGGTAGTAACCTGCCTCATGGACTCCATTGTAACAAACCCCTCCAAGAGCCAGCTGGTGCACTTCCCATCCATAGGGACACTCTGGTATTTTTGTGATGATGGTTTTAGGATAACAAAACACAAGAATAACATCTAGAAAGAAACACACATGATTTGGGATAACAAATGATGAATACTCAAACTGTTTTGATCCACTAGAGATGCAGACAATTTGAAAGAAGAAAAAGAGGAAAAAAAATTAATGCTCTTTAACAAATAAATAAATAACAAGAATAAATAAAGCTTAAGAATAAAGCCCAAAGAGGAGAATGGAGAAAATGTGATGAGAATAATTTTTAAATAGTAGTTGGAAGTTCACTAAATCAGGAATCAAGAAACCTGGATTCTAGACTTGGCTTTGCTATCAATTCACTCTTTGGCCTTGGGCAAATGACCCTATTTGGGCCTCATTTTCCCCCTCTGTAAAACGAAAGGATTAGGTGAGATGATTTCTAAGTTCCTTTTCAAATCTAAAAGCTATAGGACTTTAAATTCATGACAAAAGTCTTATTTTATGCATATTTTCTTGTTTTTAAAAAATGTCAATATCTGCCTTGTTTATATTTGGGAGATTTATTAAGTAGGACAACAAATTGTGACTATATTAAGATAGGGACAAAAGTGACAGGCAGTTTGGGTGGCCTTTCCCCTAAAGAAGCATCTCGTGGAAACAGTTGGGCTTGGAGTTTTAAGACTTCATTTCCGACACTTAGTAATGGTGTGACTATGGGCCAGTCACTTAATCTTACTGTATTCCAGTTGTCTTATCTATAGAATGGGGATACTAATATATTTACTACCTACCTTAGAAGTTACTATGAGAAAAGCACTTTGTAAAATTTAAAAAGCTATAGTATTGTGAATTAGTAGTTTTATGATCATTTTCTTCCAAATACTCTGTACCTGCTTTATTTGGGGTACACAGGCCTGCCAATGTCTTAGTAAAGATGGCCAGCAGGAAAAATACCCTTATCACCATCTCTTCTGTGGGGTGTGGACACTGCCGGGCAGCCAGACCAAGAAAGCAGGATGGTCACAATCCTGGAAGGGCCCAGGGCATTATCACTGTAGGCTTGGAATGAAGATTTTCAGCAAAGGAGAAGCACGCAGCATACCCCAACCTGCGTGGGAAAAAAAAATGATATCCTAAGAGAGACTGAAGTGTAATGCCCCACATCCCCATCCTTCCTGACGGACGTACAACACACCAAAGGTAGAAATCATACCAAAAATCTGGCAGGAGCCGTAGTTCAGATGTGGCTGGTCATATGTCCTGTAGCTTCATTCGGCCCACCCCAGATGCACTGTGTATGTTGCTTTCTCCACTCCTGTTTTCCCCCCAGCTCCCTGATTCAATACTCTCTCCACTTTATATAGGCTGTTGTTGTAAAAAGAAACCCTCATCCAGATAAGGCACAATGAACAAGTGTAAGCCAGGGTCGGGGGAACTCCAAGGGGACCACATGGAACAATAAGACAGGGAGTTCCATTACTGTCCATCAAAATGAGATTCTTTTTCTCTCATGCTATTTTTCATGGAGCTTTCTTAAATAATAAACATTTTTTTTCTCCTACCCCAGGGTGTGAAAAGCAAAGCAAACTTTAATTTTTAGGAGAAAGTATATTTTTATACCTTTGCCTAGAAAACCTCAAATGGGGTTGTGGAGAGTTGGGCATGACTAAAAATGAACAATAACAATGAAATGCCAATGCACATTGTTACTCATTTCAGGTCTAGGAAAGGACTTGGTATGGTTTTGTTCTCTCCCATCTTCCCCCACCAATTATTGGTAGGGATCACTTAACATATTCTCTAAAATTTGAACTTAAAGAAGTCTCTGAATATCATTAAATTTGATTCTCAAAAACATAGGACGGTGATTCCATGTTTAAATGTTGTAGTTCAGTCGTATCTGACTCTTTGTGACCCTATTTGGGATTTCCTTGGCAAAGAAAGAGGTTTGCCATTTCCTTCTCCAACTCATTTTACAGATGAGGAAACTGAGGCAAACAGGGTTAAGTGACTTGCCCAGGGTCCCACAGCTAGTAAATATCTGAGGTCAGATTTGACCTCATGAAAATGAGTCTTCCTGATTCCAAACCCAGTGCTCTATTCAGTGTGCCAACTAGAGGCAGCATCATTCCAGAGTGTTTCTTTAAAAAATTTAGATATATAGAAATTCGACCTGTATTATAAGTTTGGATAATAGACTATCTGTGTCTATAACACTTATTATAGTGTCATACAAGGTACCATAGCAAGAGTTGGAAAGGACTTTAAAAGATAATTTCATTAATTCCTCTACCATCATTCAATGCTACATTAAAAAAAACATAACCAGACGAAATCTTTATCCAGTCAAGTCATCGATTCACAAAGTTAGAGTTATCAGCACAGTGGTATGGGGGAATGAACATTGGGTTTGGAGTCAGGGTTGTTCTTGTTCAGTCATTTCAGTCGTGTCCGACTCTTTGTGACCCTATCTGGGGTTTTCTTGGCAAGGATACTGGAGTGGTTTGCCATTTCCTTCTCTAGCTCATTCCTCAGATGATAGGTGACTTGCCCAGGGTCCCACAGCTAGTAAGTGTCTGAGGCTGGATTTGAACTCAGGAAGATGAGTCTTTCTGACTTCAGGCCTGGCATTTTATCTTATTGTACCACCTAGCTGCTCCTGGAGTCAGGAGACCTAGGTTCAAATTCTGACTGCCATTTACTACTTGTATGTGAACAAGTCACTTAATCTCTAAGGGAAACAGTTTTTAAAGAAAGGCTCAAATTTGATTAACTCCAAGGTCCTTCCTAGCTCCAAATTTATGATTCTATGACCCACAAATGTGGCAATGAGAAATAACTGTTTTGTTCTCAAGAATTCTACAGGGTAGCAGAAGTGCCACAGGGTGGGAATCTGAAGACCGGGTTCAAAGCCCTGCTCTGCTACAATCTTCCAGAATCATGGCTTATTAAAGAAGAGATTTGGACCTTAAAACCTGTAAGATCTTTTCTATCCCAGCATGCTGTGGTTTTAGCCACAGTGGAGACCTCGAGCGCTGGACCTGGAGTCAGGAAGACCTGTGTTCAAATTCTGCTTCAGACACTTACTTGCTGTGCGACCTGGGAAAGTCAACTTAATTTCTGCTGGTCTCAGTTTCCTCATCTGTAAAATGGGAATAATGGCACCTACCTCCCATGGTTGTCATGAAGATAAAATAAGATAGTGTGTGTAAAATGCTAGCAAGCCTTAAAACTACATAAATGCTAATTGTTATTATTATTATCTACCACATGTTAGGCCCTACGAGGAATATAATAGCTAATAATAATAATAATAGATATAGCTATATAGTATTTATCACATGCCAAGATTTATAATTATTATCTCATTTGATCCTCACAACTACTCTGGGACATGATATTATTATTCTCATTTTACAGATGTGAAAACTGAGGCAGAGATTAAGTGATTTGCCCAAGGTTATACAGCTAGTAAAATTTTGAGGCCCTATTTGCACTTAGCTTTCCCTGACTCTAGACCTGGTATTCTATCCATTGTGCCACCTGGCTTTCTCCTATAGATAAGAAAAAAGATGAGATCCCTACTTTTTTGTAGCTTATAGTCTAAACAGGGAAATTAAACACACAACTAAAGAAATTACTGAGGGCAACTGGGCCTGGAGTCAGGAAACTTATCAGCTGTGTGACCCTAGGCAATTCATTTAACCCTATTTGCCTCAGTTTCCTCATCTGTAAAATGAGCTGGAGAAGGAAATGGCAAACCACTCTAGTATCTTTGCCAAGAAAACACCAAATTGGGGTTACAGTAAGAAATGACTGAAACAACTGAATAATGAATGAAAGAAAGAAAGGAAGAAAGAAAGAAAGAAAGAAAGAAAGAAAGAAAGAAAGAAAGAAAGAAAGAAAGAAAAATTACTAATCATTTCCCCTATTTCCTTTACTAGTTTTTAAGCTATAATGAGTTGGGGTGATATAGCACATACACATTTGATAAGAAATGCTTGATAAATCTGTTTGCTGGATACAATTCAATGTGGGTTGTGAAGAGAAAGGTAGAATACTGGGTTTGGAATCAGAAGACTTAGATATTCAACCTGACTCTATTACTTCTTAACAATGTGAAAGCTCTCTAAGCCTCACTTTTCTCATATGCAACATTAGGATACTAATACCTGTACTACCTCCCTCATAGGCTTGTGAAGAAAATGCTTTATAAACTGTAAATGTCATGTCTTTAGGGGAGGCAGCATGATATAGTAAAAAAAATGCTGAACTTGTAATCAGGAGACTAGGTTTTTTGTCCTTGAACCCTGGCTTTGATAGTTTTTTTTTTTTTGGTTATGATAGGCAAATCATTTGGCTTTTTTGAGATTTCCTCATCAGCATTACCTACTTCTGGAGGATGTTTTTGTAAAGAAAGTTTTTTGTAAACCGTAAATCTCACCATAAATGTGAGTTGTTGTATAGTACCGTCTTTCACACACTGTACATTTAAGTGAACAGACAGATTAGAAGGGGTCCTGGCTCATCTACGTCATCCCAAGAACATCTGGACAATAGGACAAGTGGAACACGTTTGTCGACATTTCTATAATGATTTTTTTCCACCATCAGTGGAATCATTCCATGTGTTAGATGCCAAGATGCTATGTGACCAAAGAAAAAAGGCACTAAAAAAGATGAAATCAGGAAAATTGACTCGGCCAGACCAAGCACACCCTAGAGGAAATCTGTGCTGGAGTCAGGATAATCCTGAGAGCATAGAGGGGTTGTTTTGCAAGATTTCTCAGAGTGATGATACCAAAAGAATGGGAAAAAATACGGAAGATATTATTGTCAATTAAGAAAACATCAATAATTACTTAATCCTACTTCTACTTTCTCATTTTTATGAAATCTTTATAAGAACAAGCTATGCACATGTCAAGGGTCCTTGGAAATATGGGAATGAAACAGACAACGTTTTGCCAACCATTCTCTAACAACATACCACATCTTTATAATCATGTATTGCCTGAAAGGTGCAGACAGGACAAGAGTCCTCTATTGCTTGTTGATTACAAAAAAGCATTTGATATAGTAGAACAAAACCAACATTAAAAGCTCTGGAGAGATGAGGAATCTCTCAGGCAGATGTTAAGATCATGCAAGTATTCTTGATAAAGGCAATTACAGAGATAACTTTGTTCAGCAGTTCTTTGATTATTGAGATCAAGCAAGTAGGACTGGGAGATGTGTTGCTCATCAAAGGTGTTCTCTCTGCTGTAATGAATGAGATCCTGAGTAAGGTCCAGATGAAAGACAGACATTCCCTGTGGACAGTAAAAGGCCTCCAGATACTTCTAAATGTAGACAATATTATGCAAATTGCATCAAGCCCTGGAACATATAGGACCTCTCAATGATATCTACTGATTTCTTCAAAGAGATTGACCTCAGAAGTCCATGCAATGGTGCAATGAAAAGAATGATGTGATTGGAATCGTTGGACCCAAGTTTGAATGTTGGCTCTTCCACTTACTTGTGTGGCCATGGACAAGTCACATAATGTCTTGGGGCCTCAGTATCTTTATCTTGGACTGGATAACCACTAATTTCTCTTCAAGCTCTAGAACTATGACTCTATGAGCAAATGGATGAAGAATATCCATTGTCCAAATTATGACATGTAATTAAATGATCAGTCAATTGAGTTAAGCTATTAGTACATATATCCGGGACGGATATTGTTGATAGATGATGAGTAGGGTCCAGAACTGATAGAGGAATAAGGGGGGTGGATTATATAGTGCTTTGAAGATCCTAAGCAGAAACCCAACAGTGTGATTTTTAACAGAAATGTTCTCCTGGAAAGTTTATGTAATCATGAATCTTGCAACACCGCAATCTCTGAAGAATCAAGAATTTGGTGCCTACAAGGCTAATGGAGAGCCCCAAAGGGAGGGAAAGATAAGCAGGCAGTAATA